TACATACATACATAACATACATAACATACATAACATACATAACATACATAACATACATAACATACATAACATACCATAACATAACATAGCATAACATAACATAACATACATACATACATCCATACATACATAACATACTAAACATACATAACATACATAGCATACATAACATACATACATACATACATACATACGTATGTACGTATGTACGTATGTACGTACATACATACATAACATAACATACATACATACATACATATATACAAACATTACATACATACGTACGTACGTACATACATACATACATACATACATACATACATACATACATACATACACAATTACATTACATACATACATACATACATACATACATACATACATACATACATACATACATACATACATACATACATACATACATACATACATACATACATTACATACATACATAATACATACATACATACATACATACATACATACATACATACATACATACACATACATACATACATACATACATACATACATACATACATACATACATTACATACATACATACATACATACATACATACATACATTACATACATTACATACATACATACATACATACATACATGCATGCATACATACATTACATACATACATACATACATACATACATACATACATACATACATACATACATACATTAATTACATTACTTACATACATACATACATACATACATACATACATACATACATACATACATACATACATACATACATACATACATACATACATACATACATACATACATACATACATACATACATACATACATACATACATACATACATACATACATTACATACATACCATAACATACATACTATACATACATACATATATACATACATTACATACATTACATACATACATACATACATACATACATACATACATACATACATACATACATACATTACATACATACATAAATACATACATACATACATTACATTACATTACATTACATTACATTACATTACATTACATTACATTACATTACATTACATTACATTACATTCCATTACATTACATTACATTACATTACATTACATTACATTACATTACATTACATTACATTACATTACATTACATTACATACATTACATACATTACATACAGTACATACATTACATACATTACATACATTACATACATTACATACATTACATACATTACATACATTACATACATTACATACATAACATACATAACATACATAACATACATAACATACATAACATACCATAACATAACATAACATAGCATAACATAACATAACATAACATACATACATACATACATACATGCATACATACATTACATACATACATACATACATACATACATACATACATACATACATACATACATACATACATTACATACATACATACATACATACATACATACATTACATACATACATACATACATACATACATTACATACATACATATATACATGCATACATACATACATACATACATACATACATACACTACATACATACACTACATACATACATACATACATACATACATACATACATACATACATACATACATACATACATACATACATACATACATACATTACATACATACATACACATTACATACATACATACATACATACATACATACATACATACATACATACATACATACATACATACATACATACATACATACATACATACATACATACATACATACATACATACATACATACATACATACATACATTACATTACATACATACATACATACATACATACAATTACATACATACATACATACATACATACATACATACATACATACATACATACATACATACATACATTACATACATTCCATACATTACATTACATTACATTACATTACATTACATACATACATACATACATACATACATACATACATACATACATACATACATACATACATACATACATACATTACATACATACATTACATACATACATACATACATACATACATACATTACATTACATTACATTACATTACATTACAAAACATTACATTACATTACATTACATTACATTACATACATACATACATACATACATACATACATACATTACATTACATACATACATACATACATACATACATTACATTACATTACATACATACATTACATTACATTACATTACATTACATTACATTACATTACATTACATTACATTACATTACATTACATTACATTACATTACATTACATTACATTACATTACGTACATACATACATACATACATATACACACATACATACATACATACATACATACATACATACATACATACATACATACATACATACATACATACATACATACATACATACATACCATCCCATACATACATTACATTACATTACATTACATTACATTACATACATACATACATTACATACATACACATACCATACCATACATCATACATATTACATTACATTACATTACATTACATTACATTACATTACACATACATTACATTACATTACATTACGTACATACATACATACATACATTACATTTACATACATACATTACATTACATTACATTACAACATACATACATACATACATTACATACATACATAACATACATACATACGTACATTCATACATTACATTACATTACATTACATTACATTACATTACATTACATTACATTACATTACATTACATTACATTACATTACATTACATTACATTACATACATACATATGCGTGTGTGTGTGTGCGCGCGTGTTTAAATACTAACTGTCTGTGTGCAACGGAAAGCACAAGCAACATGCATGCACCAAACATGACTATGTACGAGCCACAAACAATCGAGTGTCCTCCTTCAACTGATGGGCAACTGTGTTGTCATCCAAGTTGTAACAATCTGAAAAAGGCTCATATAAAACATATGCATACATATGCATATGAAGAAAGCTGTCAGGACGAAAACGAGGCCAAAAACAGATATTCAGCTCCGTTAGGTTGCTAGAACTGCTACCAAAGCTGAAACACTTGCCCCCCAAGCAAGTCCGTTTGACTCGACCCCACAGATCCGCCTATGTCTAAACTGCACTGCTCCCATTCCAAGTGGGTTCGATTCAAGCACATCCCTTCCTTTTCTCACCGGCATCCCAGTCGAATGGGCCGCAGTACCCTTCAATCATGGAAGCTGATGCTGTGTTCACATTGGGTAATTCCTGTGTCCCCTTCCATGATTCTGGGAAAGCGGATTCTGGTTTTAAGTTTTAACCAACAAGGTCAGCTGGTCTGTTGAGACACACCGGGGAACAGAGAATCTCTCCAACACATTTGGCCATGGGTCAACATCCCGTACCCCCAGTGAACTAAAATGGGTGGTGCACCTACCCCAAAATGGTACCATTGGTTTTGACCCACAGCCATTTGGGCTCACAATACTTCCCCGAAAAAAAAATCACCGGCCTGGGGTCGTTGCCGTGCGTGTAGTCCCAAACCTCGCACACGCCCTCGCCGGGGGACCGGGAGGCATTGGGATAGTCCCGCGGCTCCACCTGGTACCTACAAAAATTGGGGGAGTGGGTCACAGAAATGTGGGAGAATCCCAAAGTGGACTTGGGTTTGCCTGGTGTCTCAACCACTCAAAAGACACAAACATTCGCTACGCCATTCCAAAGAGAACTGAGAAACTGATACTGAACAGGCTTCACTTCAGCTGACCCATACGCATTTCAAATTACCCGCGAAAGCAAACAAGGGGGGGCAGAAGCAAACTCACGGATTCGGCTCGACGCCAGCGCAAATCTCGAGCCTCTGGGCATGTCCTTCCGAGGGAGGTGAGGGCAACCCATCTACATGAGTCTGAGTAGCAGTCTGAGCACAAGGATGCTGTGCAAGAGGTAAAAAGACTGTCATGGCAAGTTTGGGATGTGTGCTCATCTCGACCACCGTTCCTCGGGCTTCCACCACACGGGAGTTCAGCAAAGTCACAGAAACGCCGAGAGTCGATGTCTACCTGAGATCATGGTGCAGTCGGGGTGCCAAATGCAAAAGATCCGGTTGGGCGCCCACTGATTCTCACAGCGTGCTGTAAAGTTTGGGGAAAACAAGGTGCCCACGAACAAGACGACATCGCCGGGTCGAGGCCCCGAGGAGTTGAACACCGAGAAGTTGAAGGTGTCCTGCTTTCTCGGCGGCAGCATCCTCCAAGTTTTGTATCCGCACTCACCTTCCCTGCTCTGCAGACCCCGAAGCAAGGAGTCGGTGATGGGCGCGTACATTAGCTTCAGCCGTCCATCGGGGCGTTCACCCTGAATGATGAAGATCTGGTAGAAATCTAAGGGGTCGCAGCGGATGCCCTTGTAGCAGCATGTCCTTGGGACTACCTCGGCAAATCCGGAAGCAATAGCCATCCAACGACAATCTGAGGGTGGTAACCCCTGTTTGCGAACGAGATGTTCTGTGTAAAGCTGAAACCCTTTTGGATGCTGTTCAATCATCTTCTGGCTTATCCGCGTCCATGCAAGCAAGCATACGTGGGGGTGTGGATTGCGGGCAACAAATGCAATGCAAGGAAGATGACTCGGTAAATGCCAACCAGCAAGCAAGAATTAAACTATTTCAAAGCAAAAACGAAGTCGCAACACTCTGAGCACTGTGTGCTTGCGTGTCACACTCTGAATCAGAGTTCGACTTCGTGCTTTGTTACAGCTATTCGCCTGTTCACTTCCGATCCCTACTCTGAAACCATCGCTCAAAAAAAAAACACCGTGGTTCACCGGGCCGTGCGAAGTCAACAAACCGCACCAACTCCCCCGAAGACGGACCCGAGAATCGCAGCAAAGCTGCTTCCGTAAGCCTTGTTGGCTGCGCCGCGGGGGCAGCAGTGGTCTCCAGGTGCCGGTTCAACTCTAACAGTTTCCCATAAAAGGACAGCAGAAGCCCCAGGGAGAGGAGCAAAACCAAGACCCGGCGCAGGGACATGGCGTTCCGAAAGCCATGTGCCCTGCGTGTTGCTTTGACCCAAGTTTCCTCCAAACACTTCAATGCCACAGTGATTTCAGAGGCAAGCGGGTGCAAGGTTCAGGAAAGTCCCGCAGCCAGCAAGTTGCAATCACGAGCAACAAGTCAAGGCAGCTTTGACGCGAGTGCTGGCAAAGGGCCTTGGCCTTGCCTTCCTTGAGCATACGGCGGATCAAGACCAAAGGGCTCGATGGGTTGTAACACGCTGCGCTTGTTTCTGGTGGCCATGCCCTCGAGCTTTGGCTGCGAGAAACACTGCCAAACAACTCAGCCGCCTCAAAATATGGGAACCCCCAAATTGTGGCTTGCCTTTTGGCTCCCCTTTAAAACCACCCAAAAAGGGAAGCAAATGAGCGCCTTCCTTCACAACAGGATGTGGTACATGCTTGGCAACACGGCTTCTTGTGAAACACGAAAGACAGCATTCAAGCACGTGCTGAGAGGCGACGCTAGGAACTTGTGCATTGTGTGGCCCATATTATTGCTCATGCAGTTGCTAGTGATGGCTATTGCTGCCGTCAAAAGCAGGTGCTCGTGAAAGGTGGCATGATGTCCTACCCTACTACACCCATATTGGTCGGATACATCTCAGCAGTCGAAAACATCTGGATTGGTCAGCACTGAATTGGAGCAAATGCATCGACTTGTTTGGACAGCACGAAACGATAAAGCCGGCCAACACGTTGGCCCAGAAACGACGATGCGGCAAATCAATTTCTGAACCTGTGTGTCTACTGTCCCTGCCAATGCCGCTCTTTTCCGGCCAATGTTGCTCTGCAGGCTTGTAATATGCTGCATGGCAAAACTCTGAGACAAACTTTGGTATCTCGGCACCGCGTGCCTCGCAAAATGAGTCCTTACTCCGAGACTCTCACTTCTTCTTGCCGCCCTTGTCGTCCTCCCCCTTGCGCTCACAGCTCACCACCTTGCCCAGCATCACCACGCCGTTGCCATCCATGAAGGCGACGCGGGACAGGCCCTCGCAGTTCTTGAAGGTGTCGCACACCAAGGGCTGCTGGGGCTGGAAGCTGCACTGCGCCATCTCGTTGGACTTCAGGGAGTGGGGGTCCTCCATCTTCTTGCCACCTGGCCATGGGTCAAAATCCAAATCGTACCAGTGAACATCCCAATCCCACTAAAATAGGTTCTAAAAAAGGGTGGTGCACTTACCCCAAATGGTACCATTGGTTTTGACTCGCAGCCACCTGTCTCCTTGCCCATCTTCCACTTCAGCGCGGACACACGGCAGGCGGCACGGCCGCAGCGCACGAAGCCGATGGGGGAGTAGCCCACCTTGATCTCGTTGGGGATGTCCAGAACCTGGATCTGTGCATCGAACTCCTTGGTCTGACCCAAGGTTGTGTCCTTCTTATAGACCATCACATCTCCTGACCGCGGCATGTTGTTCTTGTCCAGGCCCTTGATGTTCAACCCCACGTTGTCACCGGGGTTCGCAAAGTCCACGCGCTGGTGGTGCATCTCCACAGTGAAAACCTGAAGGTTAAAACCTTTGGTCGTGTTTTTCAGGCAAAACAAAGGGAACTTCCCTACCTGCATTGTTCAACATGGATCCAAGGTTTCCTCCGTGATAGGACAAGAAAAGCCACCGTGTGTCATGAGGATGGCTGATGACGGATTGAAACCTGGCGACTTTTCGGGAATTCAATCCATGAAAAATGTCAGAACCCACCTTGCCGGTGCAGGGGTTGGAGGCGGTGTGGGTGGGCAAGAACACCACCTCCTCACCGGGCTTCACCTGAGGACAGAGACTCCCTGCAAGAGAGTCAGGTTCTGGCAAGTAGGGAATCGCCAAGCAACAAAAAACAACAACCCGGAGAACTGCAAAAGCGGCGCCAAAGAAGGGCAGCTAGGAATTCGGCAACGTTCAAACCAAGTCACCACTCCCTGCTCCACACGGCCTGCCAGCACGTCACCCACACCCTTGATTTTGTAGATGCCAGAGATGGGCATGCGCATGGGGGCGCTCACAGGGCGCTCTGGCACTCGGCACATCTTGTCGAGCACATCGTACACCTGCCGACATGGCAAAGGCCCACTTTTTGGTTGGCTGATCTCTCAAAAAGAATGCCTTTCAAGGAAAAATACAACGATTTAGCCCAGAAACGGTATCCACGTGGATGGTCTCGCTGCCAACCTCCACGTCCTGGCCCTTCCACCAACCCATGTTCTCGGACTTCTTCAGCAGGTTGTCCCCCATCCAGCCGGAGATGGGCATCACGGGGGTGTTCTTCTCAATGAAGTCCTTCTTCCAGCCCACCTATGCCGTCAAACTGGCAACCCCCAAAGTGGACTGCGACTTTCGTTTTTGGTTTCAACCAGAAAAACAACAAGCGCCACCTTCACGAGCATGCTCTTCATCTCGTTCGCGATCTCGTCGTACCTGGCCTGCTTGTATCCCGCGGTGTCGCAGTCCATCTTGTTCACACCGATGCAGATCTGCTTCACGCCCAGCAAGTTGATGAGCCGGGAGTGCTGCCGGGTCTGGCCTTGGATTTCACCGGCCTTGTGGTTCCCTTTGGCGATCGCCGTGGTGAAGTTGCCATCGGCCGGCACCATGATCAGCGCCACGTCGGCCTGGGAGGCACCGGTGATCATGTTCTTGATGAAGTCCCGGTGACCAGGCGCGTCAATGATGGTGTAGTGCCACTTCTCCGTGAAGAACTCCTTGGTGGTGCAAGAGATGGTCACACCGCGCTCGCGCTCCTCTTTCTGCCTGTCCATGAAGAACGCAAAAGCAAAGGAGCCCTTGCCCAATCGATCTGCCTCCGCCTTCAACTTCTCAAGCTCGCGCTCGGGCAGGCCGCCCAGCTCAAAAATCAGACGTCCTGTAGTGGTGCTCTTGCCACTGTCAACATGACCGCAGATCACGATGGACAAGTGCTGTTTCTCCGAGTTGGCCGGCATCTTGGGGAATTCGCACTTTCGCAATTAGCTGCGTCGTTGGAGGAAACGGCTGCGGAAAACACATACGTGTTTTTTTATGCAAGGCACACTTGGACTATTGCCAATCCGGGTTTTGGAAACACGTGCCATGAATTCGAACTCAAACCACACATCAAGCATCAACAAGATTCACAGCATGATCAACAAAACCAAACAAAACAATGAAATTGTTTTTTTATGCAAAGGTAACAAACTACTCCCCACATTCACACACGCACGCACGCACGCACACGCACACGAACACGCACACGCACACGCACACGCGCACACACACACACACACGCACACATGCGCACACACACACACACACAGACGCACGCACGCACGCACGCAAGCACCCACCCACAACCACAACCACAAACACAAACACAAACACAAACACAAAAATAGACACAGACACAAACACAAACACAAACACAAATACGCACACACGCACACACGCACGCACGCACACACAAAACACACAAAACACACACACACACACACATTTCAACTGCCGAAGGAAAGATCTCATCTTTCAAGTACAACCGGTAAATTTCGAGTGGGTGGATTTTTGGTTCGCAAGACACTTGGCTTCTCTTCAGTGTCGAAAACGTTACAAGCAACAATAACGGGCCAAAAGGACTTTGTATCACCGGCAAGTACACAGAGCTGATCAGGCCCTGCTTCCCGTGCAATCAAGTAGCTTCGTTGGACGTGAACCCTGATTGCACGCCACGTCCCCCTGCTGAGATTGCAAGGTTGGTAACAGGGTAGTTTTGTCACGCCCCTCCACGAGGGGCGAGAGCTTCCTTGGAAGACGCCCTGAAAGAGATTCTAATGTCCAAAAAGTCCTGAGCGGCGTGGGGAGCGGAAAGAAACACCACCCTCACGAGTACGCTCAGGAGACGAGGTCCAAGGATCACCATGGTGTGAATAGATAAAAGAGGTCACGCAAGGCTCTCTCTTTAGAGGGGGTTTCCCAAATGGATTCTATTCTACCTGAGAGGCTCCTAGCACTCGTCCGTCCAGGAAATGACCTCGTCCTGCGAAGGATTCGAAGTCTAAAACGCTGCGTGCAGGCGTGTGGCTGCAAAATAATGACCCCTAGATATGCTTGCAATTTGGCTCCAGGTTGCATTTCAAGCGAGCCAACCTTTGCAGGGCTAAGAAAAAAAACAAAAAAAAAAGAAAAACAAGGGGTCCCAAAAAAAGGGGTCCCCGAAAAAAAGGGAAAAGGGGTTTCCTTTGGCAAAGCTTGACATCGCTTGAAATGCAACCTGGAGCCAAATTGCGGCGCATATCTAGGGGTCATTATTTTGCAGCCACACGCCTGCACGCAGCGTTTTAGACTTCGAATCCTTCGCAGGACGAGGTCAAATGCTGGACGGACGAGTGCTAGGAGCCTCTCAGGTAGAATAGAATCCATTTGGGAAACCCCCTCTAAAGAGAGAGCTTGGCCTGCTCTGCAAAGAAGCGTGCTCTGCAAAGGAGCGTGCTCTGCAAAGGAGCGTGCTCTGCAAAGAAGCGTGCTCTGCAAAGGAGCGTGCTCTGCAAAGAAGCGTGCTCTGCAAAGAAGCGTGCTCTGCAAAGAAGCGTGCTCTGCAAAGAAGCGTGCTCTGCAAAGGAGCGTGCTCTGCAAAGAAGCGTGCTCTGCAAAGGAGCGTGCTTTGCAAAGAAGCGTTGCCGCAGACTCTGAAAGACTGCGAAGCTGACTGACCATCACGTATCCGAAGCTGACCACCGAAGCTGACTCTAGCCCGAAGCTGACTCACGAAGCTGACTCACCGAAGCTGACTCACCGAAGCTGACTCACCGAAGCTGACTCACCGAAGCTGACTCATTGATTTCTCTAGTTGTGTGTCTTCGCGCGGCGCAGTTTGCAGCGGAACTCCACGCGGGCAGCACCCAAAAAATGGGTGGTGCCTGTTTCCAGTTCCGAGGCACTTCGAAAACATAAGTGGCACTTATGCTTTCGAGCATCACATTCCTGCCCGGCATCAGAGGCTTCGATACCTAGCGCGCCACATTCCTGCCGCGCCACCTGCCTGGCATAGAAGCCTCCATCCGGCCGCGCCACTTGCCCGGCATAGACGCCAGCGTACGCGCCGCGCGCATTCTTGTTTCGCACGATTTTGCATGGTTTTTGACATGGTTTTTGCATGGGTTTTGCATGGTGCGGTTGCATGACATGATTTTGACATGACATCTTGTTTTTGCATGACATGATTTTGAACATGACATTTTGACATGTTGGTTTTTTTGCACGGTTTTGCGTATCATGTGGTTCAAGCCCTAATGCCCCTCCCCCTCACCCCCCCTACCTCTTTTTGCTGTCAGGTGTACATCCCGGAGAACTTCGCGGCGCTGGGCGGGAGGCGGGGCGGTGCCGAGCGGGCACCTAGGTAAACGTGCCGAGCAGGCACTGTGCCGAGCAGGCACTAGACGTGCCGAGCGGGCACCGTAGGCACCCCGGTGCCGAGCGGGCACCGTGGGGGCGCCAGTGCCGAGCGGGCACTTGCAGTGCCGAGCGGGCACTTGTAGGCACTACGGTGCCGAGCGGGCACCGTAAGAGTGCCAGTGCCGAGCGGGCACCGTACGTGCCGAGCGGGCACCCGGTGCCGAGCGGGCACCGTAGGCACAGCGCCAAACAGGCGCAGCTTGGAGCAGGCGTTGTGGGCCACTGTGAAAGTGGCGGCCACTGTGAAAGTGGTTGAGTACTGGCTCGCCCAACGACCCCTTAGTACTGGCTCGCCCAACGACTCTGAGTACTGGCTCGCCCAACGACGTACTGGCTCGCCCAACGACTCTGAGTACGGGCTCGCCCAACGACTCTGAGCACGGGCTCGCCCAACGACTCTGAGTACTGGCTCGCCCAACCTCGTTTGATGGCTCGCCCAACGTGGCTTCGATACCGAGCGCGCCACATTCCTGCCCGGCATAGAAGCCCGGCCGCGCCACCTGCCTGGCATCGAAGCCTCCACCCCGGCCGCACCACCTGCCCGGCATCGGAGCCACAGCCCGACGGGTTCGCCCAACAACTCTTAGTAGCTGAACTCCACGCGGGCAACGCCCAAAAAATGGTCCGCGCCTGTTTCCAGTTCCGAACTCCACGCGGGCAGCAACCAAAAAATGGTCCGTGCCTGTTTTCAGTTCCGAGGCACTTTGAGAACACAAGTGGCACTTGTGTTCTCGAGCATCACAGCCGCGCCGCCTGACACGCCACCCGGCCGCGCCTGCCCGGCAGAGCCCTGCCGAGCCCGCGCCAAGGTCGGAATTCTTCCCAGGAAAAAAAAATTCCAGTTGTCCTGTGGGGGGACAACTGTCTAAAGTTTCGGCGAACCTGCCCGGCATCGGAGCCACGCCAGCCCGCCCCCTCAATCCTGTTGTCACCCCAGGATTGCCTCCTTCAATCCTGTTGTCACCCCAGGATTGCCCCTTCAATCCTGGGCTCACAACAGGATTGCTCCGAAGCCCCTCAGACCGGCGTTCCCGTTTGGCCCCACCGGAGCCCCTGAAGGGCGTCGATTCTGCTCACAAGCCGCTCGCAGTGGGCGTCGACGTCGAATTGGGTCATCTCATCGAGGCGACCGACATCGATGTTAATCTGCTCATGCAGGCGGTCGGTTTCGATTTTGAGCTGCTCATGGAAGGTGATGACTTCTTCGCCTACGATGCGGTCATAGAGGGCGTCGGTTTCGACTCCGAGCCACTCATGCAGGGCGTCGGTTTTGAATTTGAACCGCGCCTCGAGGTTGATGGTGTCGGTCAAGAGCTGATCACGACGGACGTCGGTTTCGTCTGGGAGCCACTCACGGAGAACGTCGGTTGCGCTCGCAAGCCGGCTCAAGGCGGCGTCGGTCTGGATTTTGAGCACCCCCTGAATGCCGTCGGTTTGGACTTTGAGCAGACGCTGGAGGGCGTCAATCCTGTCTTTGAGCCACGCTGCGTTGGTCCGCGTCGCGTGTTCTGCCATCCCGGCATCTGTGCGCCGGCGCTTGCGCTCCTCCTCGTCGCTCTTCCTCTTCTTGCACCCACTGCTGGTTTGCAAGGTGCAGCCGGCGCATCTCATCGGGCTCCTGGCTCTGGGCGTCGTACAGCCTTTTCTGGTTTGCGAACCAGCAGTCCCAGACAGCAACGTCGGCCTCCCACATCTCGAGCAGGTCTCGCTGCGAAACCATACAGGCTTGCGGGCGCGCCGGAGAGGCCATGGTCTCAAGATGAGAGTAGAGGCAGCTGTGTAGGCGCGAGTTGTTTAAAACCCACAGGCGCCAGCCCGCCCGCCGCGGCAGAGACCACCGGAGGCCAGCAGGATGAACGCACCGCCGCGCCACCTGCCCGGCATCGGAGCCACAGCCCGACGGGTTCGCCCAACGACTCTTAGTAGCTGAACTCCACGCGGGCAAGGCCCAAAAAAAGGGCCGCGCCTGTTTCGAGTTCCGAGGTTCGAAAAACACAAGTTCCACTTGTGTTTTCGAGCATCACATTCCTGCCCGGCATCGGAGGCTTCGATACCTAGCGCGCCACATTCCTGCCGCGCCACCTGCCCGGCATAGAAGCCTCCCGGCCGCGCCACCTGCCCGGCATCGGAGCCGCGCCAGCCCGCCGACATGGAGGCACGCAGCTGATGATGTCTCGTATGTTATCACCAACTACGAAGCAGTGTCCGATTATGTCGGACACTGGCTCCATCGCGCGCAGGTCTCACGATTGACCGGCGCCACCGGTCAAATCATTTCGGCGAAAACATATGTAAACATGTTTGAAGGACCTGTCACCGGCAATATCCCGGAGGTCCTGGACAACGGAGAGGTAACTGACGGTACGCACGTCACCGCAGCGCAGCTGGCCCTCGCTTTGACGCCCTACGTAACGGACCTGGCGGTGAACACGGCAGCCTCCGGCAACAACGCGGCTGCCATCCAGTCCCTGGACGACAGAGTCACCGCAGAGCTGGCCTCAAAGCTGGACAGCAGCGCGCTGGCGCCGGCAATTGCGCCCCTGGCCACGGCGGCGGCCCTTGCCACCACGGA